AAATTTTTTAGGGCAACCTATTCTTTTTTTTTTTTTTTTTAATAGTTTTTTTTTAAAGAATTATTCTATTTATCTTTATTTATTTAAATTTGACCAGAGAGGGACAGAGTAAGAAAGAGATGGAAAGTGAGAAAGCAAGCCGCCAGGTCCAGGACTCAAACTGCAGTCGACCACATGTAGTCCAGCACCTACAACCACAATGCCACCTGCCAGCCCCGTAAGGTCAGTCATTCTTGAAAAAGGAAACAGTTCTCCTTGAGTGTGCATAAGTTCAGAATTTTTCATTACACTTTCTCCTTTTTTTTTAAGAATTATTTTATTTTATTTACTATTATAGTTATTTTTTTCATTTACTATAGAGCACACGTACTCACCAGACAGAGAGAGAGAAAGAAAGTGAGATAGCAAGCTGCCAGGTCCAAGACTTGAACCATGATCGGCCATGTGAGAGTTCATTGCCTTAACCACTACGCTACCTGCTGGCCCCGCACTTGCCTTTTAAAAGTCTGTTTCTTGGCTGCCTCCATGGCCTAGTGGTTAAAGGAGCTGGATCTCACATAGTTGACCACATAGTTCAAATCCTAGCCCTGTGGCTTGAAAAACATGCTGCATATATATGCATGCACACCTCAAATTCTGATAGGATGGAGAAATGGAGGAGAAGCATTATGGTGTGACCATGTCCCATAGCAAATTGTTTTCTCCCTTTTCTTCTCTGTTTCTCTCTAGTGGGGGCTTTCTGGCCAAAAACAAAAACAGTTTATTTTAAAACAAAAACCTTTAGACTAGGAACAGCAAAGAAAACAAACATGCTGATCTGTGTAATGAGAAATTTGGAAATTTCAGGACCAGCACTAGATTGATGGTGGTTAAGGCAGTTTGAGACCTGGACCTGGCAGCTTGTTTTCTCACTTTCTCTCCTCTCTCTCTAGTCAAATTAAAAATAAATAAGTAAATAAATAAAATCTGGGTTTTTTTGGAGAGGCTTTTGCTCTAAAGCACATGCACTCACCAGAAAGACAGACAGAGACTGAGAGACAGAAAGCAAGAAATCACCCCCCAGGATGGATGGCCATGCTGCAACCCCTTCTCCTCCATTCTCTTCTCAGGATATTGGGCACGCATGCACATGCGCCTGGTGTGAGTTTAAGCCACCAGGTCTAGTACTCGAACCATGATCAACCACATGGTAGTCCAGCGAAATAGCCATTATACCAACTGCTGGTCCCAAAATAATTTTTTTTTTTAAATAAAAAACTTTTTTTTCAAAGAAATTTTTGCTATAGGGTGTGTGCACTTGCCAAAGAGACAAAGAAAGAGAGACAAAAGCAAGAAATCACCCCCCAGGGGGGATGACCACCCCATAATCCCTCCCCCGCCATTTTCTTCTTGGGATTTTGGGCATGCACACACAGGTGCCCAGCGTGAGTTTTAAGTTGCTGGGTCTGGGACTCAAACCACGGTCAACTATGTGGGAGTCCAGTGATGTAACCATTACACCATTTGCTGGTCACCCCAAAAGAAACATCTAATTTCATTGTGTGGTGAACAAATATCAATTCTGAAAACAATTTACTTTCTTTTTTAAAAGAATGATTTATTTTATTTTTTATTACTATTTTTTAATTTGACTAGAGAGAGACAGAAAGGGAAAGTGAGAAAGTAAGCTGCCAGGTCTGGGATGGATCCAAACCTTGGATGGCCATGTGGGAGTCTAGCACTTCAACCAACATGCCACTTGCTCTTCCCATGAAACTTAATTTATATTGGAGTTTAGTACTCTATTCCCTGAAGTTTTTTCTCTTAAGGCAGTAAATATAAACCACAGCTATTTAGCCTCCATTTATTGTTTACTTTTCTGAAGGTGCTTATTATGTAAGTTACATTGGCAGAAATATTAGAAACATTCTTACCACATTCCCTCCTGGTGAATTTTGCATTGAGTTTTAGACTATGATGCGTAATCTCCCTTGGAATAGAAAAACAAAGACGGTTAAGCATATGAGTTAGTGCTGAATCCAGAACCAACAATAATTATAGTTAACTAGGCATTAACTAATCTTTCAAGATTTTTAAATTACTACCAGACTTGATTCAGTGATTTTTATATCTAAAGCATGGTTTAGCTCTTAGTAAATCTCTTTCATGTTTTAAAGCCTGGTAGACTTGTGTTTGACTTATGATACTTTTTGCTAGCTGAATGGGCTTGGATAAATAACCCAACTTTTCTCAGCATGCGTTTCTTTGTATGTAAAATGTAGTAATGTCTACCTTTCACGGGAGTTGTCAAAATTAGAGATGATGCTGGGAACCAGCAGTTAGCGTAATGGCTATGTCACTGGACTCCCACGTAGTCGACCGCGGTTCGTGTCCCGGACCCAGTGGCTTAAAACTCACGCCGGGCACGTGTGCGTGCGTGCCCAAGATCCCGAGAGGAGAATGGAGGAGAAGGGATTGCGGCGTGACCATCCCCCCTGGGGGGGTGATTTCTCGCTTTCTGTCTCTATGTCTCTCTCTGTCTGTCTGGCGAGCGCACGCGCCCTACAGTGAAAATCTCTCCAAAAAAAAAAAAATTAGAGATGATGCTGAAACTGTATTTGACACATAGGAAGTATTTAATAATAGGTGTCTCTATTAATAAGTAGTCTTTTTTTAATAATTATTTATTTAACTTTATTTATTTATTTTAATTTGACCAGAGAGGGACAGAGAGAGAGAAAAAGTGAGAAAACAGGCCACCAGGTCCGGGACTCGAACCACGGTTGGCCATGTGGAAGTCTAGCGCCCTTAACTACCTGCCACCTGCTGGCCCCAGTAGTCTTTTTCTATAAAGTTATTTAGTTGATCAAGCATTCATTCATACCTTTAATAAGTGCCTTCTCTAAATTTACATCTAGTAAAGACAACCAATATTTATGTCTAGTAAAGACAACCAAATCTATAGCATGACCACAGAGTTTACATGGTTTTCTTCATTTTCTAAACAGATTTTACTTTTTCTCCATTTTCCATCTTTTTCTTGGTTCTCAGTTGGACTAATTAAATTAATTTCTGATAGCTAAAAATCTCACCTAGCAGAAAATTTAACACATTGAACAGAGAACACAATCTTGTGCATAGAGAATTGGTGGCCAGTCTGTGTCCTTGAGAAGTACAGGGTGATATAGGAGCATATAACAGGAACCCCACCATAATCCTGGGGTTCAAAAGTTATGAACTCTTTAAAACTTTTAGGGTGAAGGACCAGCAGATTATGTAATGGTTACGTTACTGGACTCCCACGAAGTCAGCTGCGGTTTTTTTGTTTACTTATTTATTTATTTATTTATTTATTTATTTATTTTGGGAGAGGTTTTTGCTATAGGGCATGTGCGCTCGCCAGAAAGACAGAGAGAGACAGAGAGATAGAAAGCAAGAAATCACCCCCCAGGGGGGTATGGCCACACCGCAATCCCTTCTCCTGCATTCTCCTCTTGGGACCCTGGGCACACACGCACACGTGCCCTGCGTGAGTTTAAGCCACCAGGTCCGGGACCCGAACCATGGGAGTCCAGCGACATAGCCATTGCGCCAACTGCTGGTCCCCAGCTGCGGTTTAAAACCCAGACCTGGTGACTTAAAACTCATACCGGGCACATGTGGATGCATGCCCAAAGTCCCAAGAGGAGAATGGAGGAGAAGGGATTGCAGTGTGGCCATCCCCCATGAGGGATGATTTCTTGCTTTCTGTCTATCTGCCACCACACACGCCCTATAGTAAAAATCTCTAAAACAAAACAAAACAATAAAAAACTTTTAGGGTGAAGAGTTAGCTAGATAAGTGACTGAAAATACCTCGTAGGCACAAAGAACTGTACACACAAAGATTTTGAAGCAAACAGCATGCAGCGTTTTAAGAACAGAAAGAAGGTATTAAGAATTGAAAGAAGACTATATTATACAAGAAGTGTTTTGTTATTATTTTTTAATTTGCTAGAAGGCATGTGCACTTGTCAGAGAGAGAGAGAAAAAAAAATGTGATAAAGCACTCCCTGGGGGGATAATCACGCTGCAATCCCTTTTCCATCTCTCCCTCTTTTCAAGATTTTGGGCATGCACATATATGTGAACACACAGGGCCCCAGACTCAAACTAGAGGCCCGCTACAGTCAGCCGTGTGTTCCAGCTTCCTTAACCACACTGTTCAAATGGCTGCCCTGAGAGTTGTTTCAGGTGGTTCTAGAAGGTTACCAAGGGTTCAGACCACACAAGGTTCCAGAGCTCATGTTAAAGAGCTTGGACTGTATCCTAAGAGAACAGAGAAACTATTAAAGGACAAGGCAGGAGAACAATGGCTGACATCCTATACACATGAAATAAGCAGATTGGGGGGCCATCAGGTGGTGTGGTGGTTAAGGGTGCTGAACTTCCACATGGGCAACTGCAGTTTGAGTCCCAGACCTGGTGGCTTGCTTTCTCATTCCCCTCCCCCTCACTCTGTCCCTCTCTAATCAAATTTAAAAGTAAAAAAAGTTAAATAATTCTTTAAAAGAAAGAAAGAAAGAAGCAGATTGGACACAGTATTTCTGTAACTCTCAACCAGAGGCCCACAAACTATTGCCATGACCAGCTTTTTTATGGTATGGATGCTAAAATAGTTTTTACACTTTTTTAAAGACTTGTTTTAAAAATAAAAGAAAGGGTGGCCCAGAGGCCTGTGCCAAGATGCTGTTCCACTGGCTGGGACCACATCGGGAGGTGCCACTCAGTTCCTGGTCCAACCTAAAAGCCAGGCACAGTGGTATACACCCATAATCCCAGTGATACAGGAGTATCGTGACCTTAAGACTAGCCTAGACAACATAGCAAGACCCTGTCTAAAAAATAACCAGGCCAGCTGGCCCTGTGGCCTACTGGTTAAGGGAACCAGACCCCACATGGCCAACTTCATGTCAAATCCCAGCCCTGACAGCTTGAAAAGCATGCTGGACATGTGTGGGTACATGCCCCAGATCCTGACAGAATGGAGAAATGGAGGAGAGGGATTGGGGCATGACCACACTCCACTGGGGGCGGGGTTGCATTCTCTCCCTCTCTTTCTCTCTGTGTCCCTGGGGTGAGTTTGGGTGCCCTCTGACAGTTTAAAAAAAAAAAAAAATGAGGCATGGTGCCATGTGCCTATAGTCCCAACTATGAGACTGAGGCAGAAAAATAAGAAATGGTAAGACTTGCGACCAGCAGATGGCTTAATGGTTATGTCACTGGACTCCCACGTAATTGACCACACAGTTCAAGTCCTGGACCCTGTGGCTTAAAACTCATGCCAGAGGGACCAGCAGTTAGCGTAATGGCTTTGTCACTAGACTCCCATGTAGTCAACCGTGGTTCGAGTCCCAGACCCGGTGGCTTAAACTCACGCTGGGCACATGTGCATGCATGCCCAAGATCCCGAGAGGAGAATGGAGGAGAAGGGATTGTGGCATGGCCATCCCCCAAGCGTGGTGATTTCTTGCTTTCTGTCTCTGTCTTCCTGGCAAGCGCATACACCCTATAGCAAAATACCTCTCAGAAAAACCCCAAAATACAAAAACAAAACAAAACAAAAATAACCTCATGCCGGGCATTCGTGCATGAGTGCCCAAAATCCCAAGAGGAGACTGGAGAAGGGATTGCGGCAGTGTGGCTGTTCTCCCTGGGGGGTGATTTCTCGGTTTCTGTCTCTCTCTCCGGCAAGCGCATGCACACTATAGCAAAAACCTCTCTAAAAAAAGAAGACGGAAAGAAACAAATGGTAAGACCTGTCTTTAAAAAAAAAAAAAGAAAAAGAGAAAGAAAGGAAAGGAAGAAGAATATGGAACAAGACTTTACATGGTCTTCAAGCATAAAGTATCTACTGACTGGGCGTACTCTGAACCATTCTTTGAATGCTGAGACTGTGCATCACCCAAAACTATTTAGGAAATTTGGGACTGGCAGGTGTTGTGGTGACTAAGGGCACTGGAATCCCACATGGTTGAGCGCGGTTCAAGTCCTAGACCTGGTGCCTTTCTCTCTCTCTCTGTCCCTCTCTGGTCAAATAAAATAAAATAAATACATAAATAAAGTTAAAATAATTCTTAAAAAATTAAAACTATCTAGGAAATTTGCTTTTGAGAGTAACAGAAGAGAAGCATGTTTAATAAGAGTGCACAAGGTAAATTAATTGTGTGATGTGTACCTTTGTAGTCTTTTATTTTCCTTTTGTCAAACCATGCAAGAGAGAAAACACATACCAAAGAGACATTTGCAGACATTGATTATTGCTGCCTGCCATGGAGGGAGACAGCACGGAGGAGGGTTCTTTGCTTCTGCCCGCCAAAATGATAAGAGGAAGTACCATCGATTTAAATGTAAACTTAGCAATTCACTCACTCATTGCAGACCTGCTCAACCCATAGTTCTGAAAAGGACACCATACAACACATAATTTTAAAGCACTATACCCCAATATTTTAGTCTTTTCATGAAGCTATGAACTAGCTGGGTAGAGTTCAGCTCCATTGACACGTGGGAAATGTAGGATCAATTGGACATTTTTCAGAATAAAGCCATTTAAAAATGGCTTGGAGATTTGGTGTGTATTCATTAAGGACAAAGTGACAGTTTTCATTTTAGAATAAAGTGCACATATGAAATTACTGACCAGATAAAATATTCATGGAGTTTCCACTTAAAACTGGAGACTGCCTTCACCTTTGAATCAGCCCTTCTTTCTCTGTAACTGAATTATATAACCTGCACAAGTGATTGTAATTTTTTTTTTTATAGCTTGTAGAGACTTCGTTAAAAGGAGAAATTGCCTTTGATCCCAGAAGCGCCTATTATTTGTGGTTTGTGATGGATTTTTGTGACGGAGGAGATATGAATGAGTACCTCTTGTCCAGGAAACCTAATCGTAAAACTAACACCAGCTTCATGCTTCAGCTGAGCAGTGCCCTGGCTTTCTTGCATAAAAACCAGATCATCCACCGAGATCTTAAGCCTGATAACATCCTCATTTCTCAAAGCAGACTGGATACTAGTGACTTGGAACCCACACTGAAAGTGGCCGATTTTGGTCTAAGTAAAGTTTGTTCAGCCTCTGGGCAGAACCCAGAAGAACCTGTCAGTGTAAACAAGTGTTTCCTTTCCACAGCATGTGGAACAGATTTCTACATGGCTCCTGAAGTGTGGGAAGGACATTACACAGCAAAAGCTGACATCTTTGCTCTGGGGATTATCATCTGGGCAATGCTGGAAAGGATCACATTCATAGACACAGAGACAAAGAAGGAACTCTTGGGGAGTTATGTAAAACAAGGAACTGAGATTGTGCCTGTTGGGGAGGCACTTCTGGAAAATCCCAAAATGGAACTTCTCATTCCTGTGAAGAAAAAATCTATGAATGGGCGAATGAAACAGCTGATTAAAGAAATGCTAGCTGCAAACCCTCAGGATCGTCCAGATGCTTTTGAACTAGAACTGAGATTAGTACAAATTGCATTTAAAGATAGCAGCTGGGAAACGTGACATATTATTTGCAAATATCTTGGATGTTATGCTGCTTCTGTTTTAACAGTGATGCAACATTATGTGGCTGAAAAAGAATATAAAAAGCTAAACTCCACCTTCTAAGGGTTTAGATTTATTGTGGGGTGGTTTTTTTTCCTCATTTTTCTTAAACCCAAGCTGGCCATTTTATCAGTACGTTTTAAATGTGTATTACCAATGTGGGTGTAAATTTTTTTTAAATGATCATTGGTAGAAGTTTGGCAGGAAAATTCTCTAAGAGTCAAGAAGAGAAGAGAGTCCAGTTTTCTGGAAATATGTCTCTAAGTATTTTAGACATTCCTTGTCAGTATTAGGAATTTTCATGGAAGAAGAGGTTTGCATGCTGGTAATGCAGCCTTTCGAGCTTTGTAAAGGAAACATATATGTATATATTTATGTATATGTAAGTATGTGAATGTGTGCATTTTGCATTCCATATGAAGAAAATGCCACTTCTGTTTAAATTATTTGATGTAGGTTTGGGTTTTTGAGATTTGCTGGTGAAATCAGTAATGAAAAATAAATGAACCTTCCCTCATCTTACTACTCTGTCCCTCCCCCTAATGAAATCATGCTAAGTTTTTCTTTTCTTTCTTTCTTTCTTTTTTTTTTTTTTTTGTAGTATTATACAGCTCTTTTATATTTTTGGAGGGTCTAAAATGATAAATTAAACATAAATTAAGTGATCCAAAGCTGCTGACGTATGTTTGAGCTCTCCAGTGCCCTGTAGCTGCAGGAATTGATTTAGTCATGCAATCGTATGGTAGCAGGTTGGCAAGGACATTGATGATTCGGTCATGTCTTCTTTAGGTAACCGAGCATTTATTTAACCAATTAAACCACTGCACTGGGACATGTCTACACTTGAGCATCTACAATCTGATTTAAATATGAGCACAGGAGTCTTGTTTCTGAAATATATGAACTATAATACTTGATGTATTCATTTTTAGTTTTAAATTTTTGTCTAAGCATCACCATAAAGTTGAAGAAACCAAATGAGTTCTACCCTCACATTGCCTGCCCTGATATGGTCTCTTGTTGAATCACTGGTGGTCATTTCATTTTGGCACTGTTGCTATTTTCTCTTGTCTAATTTGAGACAGTAATGCTAGTGATAATGGTCATCTTAGGTGTTGGTCACCTTTTTCAAAGGGAGGAGAAACCTATACAACTTGGCAAATTGTGGCATCAACTACATTTCAAGTAGAAAAGTTACCGGTGTATATGATCACTCCATATAGTCTGTGTCAAAAACCAACAAACCATTATTCCATTTAAAGTTGGTTTGATTTAACTCTGTATGGTTGCCTTCAGTATGTTTTCCTGTAAATGCAGATAGTTAAACTCTAAGGATAGAAGCAATCTTAAAACAGAACATTAAACCTTTCAGGTTAGATAGACTTGACATTTTGTCTAGGTTATCTTTGCAAAGCACTATGGTCAAAAGTCAAAATAGTATTAGAATACTAAATTATTGATAGTTTGCATAGTCTTCTCAGCTGTTTTGAACTTCCACAGCTTTTGGAATATGTTATCATAATTTTTCCCCATTTAAAACGTTTTCAGAGGACAGTAGAAGCAAAGACACATTAAAAAAAATGAAATACATAAAATTGTTGGACCATATGTTTCGTGATCTGGAAGTTTAAAATTTGGACCAAAAGATTTTATTGAAATTAAGCCTCTTAAAATGAAAAAAAAAAAAAATCATACTTTTAAAACCAGTTTCAAGGTAAGAATCCTTTTGGAAATCAGAGGTAGAACTAGAACCATATGGTAATTGACCTCTGGATTACCAAATTAGTTTAACACAGATCTGTCCACGGGGATTAGGTTACTGAAAGCAAGAAAAAACATCTTTAAAATGCCTCATAAATACTGTAGCACTTCAGAGATTCACAGGTGCTGGTATACCACTGTTGATTTGTTCTTAAATACTTATGTTCTTGGATCCATGTTTTTTTTAAGCACATGGTTTTTGGTCTTGTCTCATTTGAAGTAGTTAATGATTATCATTTATTTCAGAAGATTTTACCTGTGAAGTTCATCTTTCATTAGGGATAAGGGTGTGAAGTATCAGGAAATTCCTTCTGGATTTTTCTCAAGTCTTTGTATTCCAAAATAGCCTGTGATACCAAGCAAAATGGTAGTAAACTCTTTGTCTTTCTTTGTTCTTTCAGTCGGAGGTATTTATTAAGTACCTACTGTGCGCTCAGCACTAAAGGTTAGTTGGTAAAACAACAATACAAAAGTGGTGTTTAGCCATAGGCCTTTTCTAGCTAGGTGTAAGAAGTAAAAGATATATTAGTGATACTTGGAAATTCCTAGATATTTGCTGGAGGGAAAGTGAAAGCAAAAATTTGTGCACAGTGCCTTGCCCATAATAGGTACTCAGTAATAACTATGATTCCTCATAGAGTCTCTTGTTATGGTTTATAGTGTTTTATGAAATTTGTCTTAATTGAAAAAAAGACCAAATATTTAAAATACGCTTATAGGCAGCTGTGGCCAGTTAAAATATGGGGTTGTACAGTTAGTTCCTAGAATGTTATTTTGCACTAGTCGTCACTTAGAAAGATTGGGGTTCCTGTAGATTTTTGGTGCTAAGGGATACTTTGTCATTATGATGAAGTAAGTGTTAAATGTCAGATAAATAGCACACAGAGTAGTTCTTTCTGCTGGTCTGTTTTTTTCCTTTATTGTTGTTGTTGTTTTTCATTGTAAAATGTTATCAATCAAACTATTGTAGCAGCTACAAAATAATTCACCAGCATGAAATGTTATTTTGCACTAGTCGTCACTTAGAAAGATTGGGGTTCCTGTAGATTTTTGGTGCTAAGGGATACTTTGTCATTATGATGAAGTAAGTGTTAAATGTCAGATAAATAGCACACAGAGTAGTTCTTTCTGCTGGTCTGTTTTTTTCCTTTATTGTTGTTGTTGTTTTTCATTGTAAAATGTTATCAATCAAACTATTGTAGCAGCTACAAAATAATTCACCAGAAATGACAAAATGGTCAAAAAAAAAAAAAAAGTCATCAGCACTTCAGAAATGAAAGCAACTTTTGAAATTTTCTTTTAAAATTGTCAAATATATTTTATGAAGAATTTATAAAGGGGGGAAATTATTGTAATTTATTGTTCATGACAGTTTTTTTTTTAATAAAGTGAGTTTCAACAAAAACAAAAACCTGAAAATTCTACATTGCTGCTTTGATGACTTTGTGGGTAGTGAGCATAAAATAGAAGGTAATAAATTTGAAACAATTTGTTTTTAAGACATTTATTGATTTGTCTGGGGGCTAGCCTGTGGCCTGGTGGGTGGCGTATCTGGATTCTATTTGGTCAACTACAGTTCAAGTCTCCATCTGGGAGGCTTGAAAGACATGCCAAGTGGGGCAGGATGCTGAGGAGTTTGTGCCCTAAGTCCTAAAGGGGGTGCTTTCTCACATTCCCTCCTTTTCTCTCTTTCTCTGGCAAGCACATTTGTCTTCTGGCATTTTTTAAATATAAAAATATAACTATTTTGTCTAAAATAGAAACTATTCCTGAGGAAATGATTAAATTATGGGAATTTAAGCATTTCGAGTTCTTTAAAATTTTAAGGCCTGTTATCTTGCTGTATTTGCTTTATATACAAGAAGAACTTCTGTGGCCTGAGATACTTTTCTGTTTCATTTGCCCTTCTATTTTATTAAGCTAAGCATCCCAAACTCAGAATAATGTATATTGAATGTACTAAAGGGATACAGTTTTCAGTCTATAACTTGAAGGCCAGCACCGTAGTACAGTGGTTAAGCACAATACGTGGGGAGCCAGATTCACATGACCAACCACAGTTGGAATCCCAGGCCTGGTGCCTTGAAAACACATACCAAGCACATGTGTTTTCCTGATGGGATAGGAAACGGGGGGGGGGGGGGATTGCAGCATTACCTTGTCCCGTTGGAGGGTACTTGGTTCTCCCTCTGTCTCTGTCTCTCTCTCCCTCTCTCTCTGATGAATACATGCACCCTCTTGCATTAAAAAAAATGTTTTTAATCTATCATGAGGCCATGGGTTTTTTCCCCCTAGAAAAGGCATCTGGCCTCCTCTCTTTTCTTTCATAGGTTCTCTATATGCCTTGGGACACTTCCACTTAGGGGTCCAGTGGAACACCAGAGGGAATGAGAAACAGAAAGCACTACGTGTGACCTAGTGCAGGAAGGCAGGTATGAGGAACTGGAACTTCTGACTGCCGCCCCCTCCTGGTATAGCCTTTACAGCAAGGAAAAATTTGCTTTCTGTTTAGAGATGAATTTTTAAATTGAATCTTGCGCTATCAGTATTTGTAGTTACTAGCATTTTTGTAATCTTTTGCAGTTTACAAAACACTTTCATATAATCTTCACATACCTTTTCCATGAGTCTTACAAAATAGGGGCTGATTCTTTGATGAAGACATCAACCGTGAAAGCACTAATTCCTGAGGTCAAGATACTGTTTTACCTTAGGACAGGGTTCCAGTGCCTAATCTCAGACTCCAGTATGAGTTTTCTCTAACAACAAAGCTATTATCTTGCTCACTGAAGTACTGTAAGGACTCCTGGTTGTTTTGATCTTTTCTTTAAATTCAAATGGTGCGCCCTTGGTCAACCAATCATAGACATCCTGAAAAGTGCAGTGTAATGACAGACGGTTTGTGGTTAGATAATAACTCCTCCTTGAGAAAACCTACCAGGCGGGCCACACCTTTGAAGGCAAAGTGCGTCTTTTAAAGGCAGCACTTTCCCTTTTGCAATGATTTTTCATTTGTTAGAAGGATATTGTTAAATACACACACACACACAGGGCTGTGGACTTCACTCTCATTTCCTGTTCAGCCTGGTATTTCAAGCTTAGCTTGTTCTGAGCAGAAGTTAGGCAACTCGATATTGCCAAAGGCATTATGGTCGAGCAGGAAAAGCACAGGCTTTGGTGTAGCAGATCTGATAGTGAGCGCTGGATCTGGAAATACCTATGTACGATAATTAATGTGTGACCATGGGCAAGTCGCTTCATTCTGAGCTTGTTTCCATATCTCTAAAACGGTGGTGACAGTATTTACATTTCAGGATTGTTTTAAGGGCCAAAGATAGATAATACACCGATGTGCCTTCAGTGCCTGGCACTAACTTTTCCAGTGGTAACCATTATTGCTACTGTAGTGCTGAGTGAATCTGATGAGGCCGTCTTCAGCTCAGTGGTAGCCTTGGCTCTCCTCTCTGAGACTCCGATGAAGGCACTGCATCTCTCTTCAGAAAGAGGTTTGCGTGTAACTTCAGGGGATTTGTGTCTCTCAAAAGCCCACGCGAACGTCAAGTTGAGGATCTCTGAGTTCTATGCTCCACTGAGTGAGAATCTCTGCTAGAGCTTCTGAGTCAAAAGTGGGCCATACATGGGGACACTTGAAAGGAACCCGTATTATTTGGTTTCTCGATCTTGGTAAGGCAGATGTATTAACTTTGTGAAAATTCACCAAGCTGCACTTCAAATTTCTACACTTTTCCCTAGGTGTGTTACAACAAAAGCGGTTGGTTTGTTTTTTTTTTTTTTTTTACAGAGGGGCGGTTTGTGCACTCATCAGAGAAAGGGATGAGAAAGAGAGGGAGAAAGCACCCTGCAATGGGACGGGGTCACAGTGCATCCCTTCTCCATTCTGTCAGGGTTTTGGGGCACAGACGCACATATGCCCAGTGTGTTTGTCAAGCTGCTGAGGCCAGGATCCAAACTGTGGTCCACTACGTGGGATCCTGCAGTCTTAACCACTCGGCTACAGGGCCAACCTAATTTGTTTGTTTGTTTTCTAATTTGCCAGAGGGCATGTGCACTCTCCAGAGAGAGTGGAGGAAGAAAGTGAGAAATCGCTCCTCATGGGGCAGGTCTCCCCACAGTCCCTTCTCCACCTCTTTCTCCTTTCAGGATTTTGGGCACACATGCACATGTGCCTGGTTTGGTTGTTTTTGTTTTTATGAAATAATTATTTAATTTTATTAATTATTATTATTATTACTTAATTTGCTATAGGGCACATGTGCTCACCAAACACAGTGGGGGAGGTGTGGGGGTGCGTGGGTGTGAGGGAAGTGAGAAAGTAAGTCACCAGGTCTGGGATTTGAAATGTGGTCAGCTATATGAGAGTCCAGTGCCTTAACCACACCATGCCACCTGTGGCTCCAACCTGGTGTATTCAGCAGGTAGCATGGTGGTTAGGGCGCTGGACACTCCCATATGGCTCCATATGGCTAACCACAGTTCAAGTCCCAGACCTGGTGGCTTTTTTTCTCACTTTCTCACTCTCTCTCATTAAATTAAAATAAATAAATGAATAAATAAAATTAAATAACTTTTAAAAATCGGTTCTAGAGCCAGGACTTGGACCACATGTTTGGCTATGTGGAATCCAGCTGCCTTAGCCACCAAGCCATGGGATGGCCCTTATTTATATTGGATAGTCAGAAAAGTCATGATGCATTTTTGCATAGAAAAAGATAGAAAAATACATCATGACTCTTACGACAACCCTATATATATATTTTTTTTTTTCGCTATAGGTTTTCGCTATAGGGCGCGTGCACTCGCCTGACAGACAGAGACAGAGAGACAGAAAGCGAGAAATCACTCCCCAGGAAGGATGGCCATGACGCAATCCCTTCTCCTCCATTCTCCTCTTGGGATCTTGGGCACTCATGCACACGCGCCCGCCGTGAGTTTTAAGCCACCGGGTCCGGGACATGAACCGCAGTTGACTACGTGGGAGTCCAGCGACATAGCCATTATGCTAACTGCTGGTCCCAACCCTATATTTTTAAAACATGCAGTGGGACTGGAGACAGTTGTCAGAGGCTGAAGGAAGGGTCACAGACTTTAAAAGCGGACCCTTTTCCTTTCTGGTACTAGCTATGTGATTTGTATAACCTTTCAAATCCTAGTTTCCCACATATTTAAGTAGAGTTCCTGACGCTGTAAAGATGGTCTGAAAGGAGCTGAGGCATGTGGAAATGCATGGCACACCCCACAGATGTTTCTGTTCTCCATCCCCAAGGAGGACTCGCTCATGGGAAAAGTCTTCGAGCTCCTTTTACTGCGAATTTGCGTGGTTGGTAGAAGCAAGTTTGTTCTTAATGTAGTTTGCATTTGCCATACTTATTAGGGAAGTGTCCTATATTCCTTTGCTGTAATGTTCTGGCTACTGCCTGCCTTTTTCCCCTGCAGCCTTGCCCCAAGTACAACTCTATTTTTTTTTTATTTATTATTATTTTTTATTTTTTATCATCATATCTTCTTCATATTACATTGGATTACATATAACTTTACAGTGTATTACATTGTTTCTTCAAAAGGGAATGCCATGCACGTCAGTCAGTACAGAGACATTAATCTCCCCACTTCAACCTTCCATATCTTTTCTGTTTTCCCCAATCATTATCTTTATTATTCTAATTATTTTTATAAAACAGTCAATTGCTATTTCTCGTTTTGCTTGTAAAAATACTTTGCCCGTCATGAAACACTTCTCAGACCAATCCAGTTGAGAATTCTATACATGTCATCATCAACAGTTAATAAGCCCTATCTGTTTCTCACTAACGTCCTGCCTCTCTATTGTTCACTTGCTATCTTTCTCTATCCTCTTCTCTTCACTTACCCCATTCCACACTGTCCTAGTGTCATTAAGTACCATCACTTCAAGAATGGTAGAGTAGTTCCTGTTCTTCCCTGAGGCAATGCAGGGCTGGTAACCATCATCTTCTCAAGTTGCAAGTTCTCAGACCTTGTTTTCCGCTTCAGCTTGCTGGTCCAAAGGCCACACGCCGGCCCTGGAGAGGCAGCTGAACGCCGGGGCATGAGCCCCGAGCCGCCGGCCCCGGGGGCCGGCAGACCAGCAGCC